TTTTTTTTTTTTTTTGATTGATAATATGGGTTGAAATCTACTTGAATTCCCTGTTTTGAGGAACCCAAATGAGTTGGCTTCACTTACAAAAGGAAAAAGAAAATTATTAACATTAATTTACTTTTCCATGGTAAACAGCAAAGACTGGAATTTCAAGTGAAAGGTAATTTCATGAAGTCCCTGAAGTGATGTGATTATCTTGAAATGCATAAAAAGTCGACAAGTTTCTCAAGTCATACATGTATAAGGCAACCTAAGACGATCTGATAATGGAAGACATCCCTCATCCCTAGGGTACTAGCTGCTTAAGATGATCATCATAATTATCATGTTCTCAATCTTATCCAATTACCATTGCAGCATTAATCCTTGTACTTCTGTTCTGCTTTATATAAGACATTTTTTGTTAAAGAAAGAGGGATCAAATATTTTCTAACAACATAAACACATGTTCTTTTTGGCTCTCCTCTTTTCATTTTGTAGCCTTCAATTGGCACTCAGAAAAACCTTTTTTCTGATAATTTATTGGATTCATTTACATCATAAAACAAGTACAGGAAGAGGGAAAAAACAAAAACCACAAAGAACAGGGAAAAGGCCAATAGCTACCCACAACCACCTCACAGAAAAAGAAAAAAATGGAAAACTGCAATAAAACCTGAGAGATTGGGCCGAATGGGCCTTAGTTTTCTTTTATTTAAGTAGCTTTATTTCTGCTGTTATATCTGCTGTAGTGGGCCTTCATTATGGACCTAATTCTTATTTCTTGCTTATGTTTTAAGTCAGCCGCCCAACTAAGGGCACTCTTGTAACTTTACATATATTTTCTTTCAGCATATATAAATGAAATCAGAGAGATAGAGCGGTGAGATCAAACAACTCTCTTTCTATTCTCTTTTCTTCCATTCTTCCATTCTTCCATCTTCTCCCTAAGCTTCTGCTGAACCTCCTCTTCTCCTTTTTCACTTCTTTTATTTATTATATTTTGAGATTTATTACAGGTATGTTTTGTGATTAAACCCAAGGTTCAAAATTTTGACACGATGCACCCCATATTGAGTGTGTTGTATCATATCAATGGGGGGTCCAAAATGGGAAATACAGTCCTTTTGGCCTTTTGACCTATTGCAGGAGATAAACAAGCCTAAGACCTACCCCCTGACCTATTTTTGAAAAAAACAAAAGCTTCCGCTAAGTACAAAGTACTGATACACCCCTTCTAGTGCATCAGGATGTATCAATACTTTGAACCTTGATAAAACCCAAACAGCCCAGAAAACCAACTACCAAACCCTAAACATAACTGCACGTCTGCACCCAAAGGCTTCCTTATGATTATGGATATAGGATTATGAAATATTTTTAAAGAAATTTACTTCTTTCCTTGGGGGAAATATTTATTTCACCTAACAAGTACAATAAAATATAGAAAAGGTGCAATTGGGCAGATATTAACAAAATGAATATACAAATAAGAGAAACCATCAAGTATGATGCATTCACAAAGTTCCTTTTCTTGACCGCATCCTTGGTGACAAGTGAATTTCAGGTCAGAATTATGGAGTTAAAACGTTATTGACATGTCAACTTGTTATTACAGTTCAGAAAGTTCATTTTAAATCCAATGCAGAAACAATTACCATCATTGCCAAATACACATGGACTAACCACATACAACAACAACACATACGCATAGATGGCAAACTAGAATGATTTTCTTTTTACTAGTAAACTATCATAATCATCATCAGACTTGTTCCAACCATAGGTCAGCTACATGAATCCTGTTCCATCACTTCGTTCTGTTCAGTGTCAAATCCATTGTTAAATTAGATGTAAATCAGTCCTCTAATATCAAGATTAAACTTAGTGATTAGCAGAATAGAATAGATCTGAATAACTGTATAAGAGAGGAAGATGGCGAAGAGAAGAGGTAAGAGAAGAAGAAGTCGAATTAATCACCCTTCTCCTCTAACCCTATTTTATTAATCTCTAAAAAATTGATGATGACAAGTATACCCTTAAGTGGGCGGCCAGCTTGGCAGTTA